CTTCCGTCGAGGATTGCTCTCGGAACATTGTCCGGGCGGTTGGGGCGGGCCGTAATGTAGAGTGCGGGTTTTGTCGTTGGTGTTTCGGTACCGTTGTCGACGCCGCCGGGGGAATCCATGCCGGTAGGAAGAACGACTTTCCCCACAATGAAATCGGTAGAGGCCGATCCATCCTCGGCAAGRGCGAGCTGCCGAAACGAACCCCAYGCCAACACACCGGTCGACAGTGATTGGAACGCCAAGCGGCCGGYCCGTCTTCTCGTGAGTTCGTTGGTGGAGGGAATAGTTTCGCTGTAGCTTTCTATTTGTTCATCGTGCGTCGATGACAATGAYACCGGTGAGAGACCTTCTCGGAAGGAAGACCGATGGCTGCTKTTAACCAYGAAACCATCGGTGACACGCAGACAAAACAGTCCAACGAGAACCGCAAAAAAATTGCAGAGTCCTGCTCTAGTAGTAGGATTTGTCATTTCGAATTGCTTTTGGTAGAGTCAAGCAAGCAAGATACCCATGCAAGAATATGTTTTGGTGAAGAAGGCGCTAACTCGTAGAAATACCTATTAAACGGACGAACRCATACGTAACATTCTGATTGGCATGAGAAGTATTGATGATGAATGATGGCATCCTTCGAATTTCCTCGATCTCTTTTCACATCTTCGTGCCAGTGGCAGCAGTATTGGAAATTGGAATGCCCTGTTTCATATTCATACGTACGTACAAGTAGGTGCTTGCCCTACTGGTACAGTATTCGAACGTAGTTCGTCAGCGATAAAACGTGAAAAAGCAAGATCCGGATGCGGGAATCGTTCGACGAAACCAGGAGGCACAAGTATCCCTTCCCACAACTTTTATCCTGTCCGCTTGATGTCATGTGATTTGACACAACAACAACGGAATGATTACTTCACACTGGTAACTGATTTCAAGGAAAGGGTCCGAGAGAAAAGAACATAGACAGAGTATATTCAATCTCCACATCGCCACCGTGTTGACCACCATGCCACGGCCCATGTCGTCATCAGTGGTATTTTTTGTTTCTTTCTTCTTTAGCATCGGCCTTTTGGCCAACGTGTTCTGCGAAGACATTGATCCACAAGATCTTTCCCCAAGCATCAATCCTGATTCCGGTCGATCTCGATCTTTGGCTTCGCTTCAAGCGATAGCTACGTCGAGTCCTAATTTTCGGGCAAGGCGGTTGCATTATCCCGTGACCGATCCACACGTGTGCTTGGCATTTTTGAGCTGCTGCCAACGCACCGATTTGCTAAATCACACCATTGCTGGAGCAATTCGGCAYATGGAAGAAGATGAGCCGTCATTCCTTCGGTATGAAATCGCGTGGGTGGACAACGGAAACACCGCAGAGGATACGAAATACATAAAAGAATCGTATCCCATCGAACACGCTCTGACACTCCCTAAAAACATGGGTCTCGCTTACGGWATGAATCTACTYGTCAACAACCTGTGCAAAGCTCCCTATATTTTGCTTCTGGAGGAAGACTGGCTTTACCTCGACGAAATTGTGGCGAATCAGACAGAGGAACGAAAACGCTCGATCGCCACATCGATTGCATTGCTTGAAAATCTGAAGAAGAATAACGTCACGGCCTATGATGAACGAAATGTCATTGGCGTGTTTTTGCGCCATGAAACCTACGACTCGTTTTTGACATTTCCGCATGCAGATATTTGGGAACGAAGGGAAAACGTCAGTCTCTCACAAATATTGGCGCCGCCAGTAACATCGGACAGGTGTAGCTCAAATATCACCGAGACAGATTTGATCAGCGATGATCATAACCAGGGGAATRACGACGACGATGGCACTGTGGACATTGATTATCGAATTTTCTGTGCAGATGTMGGCGCCAAGGCCGGAGCCATTTGGGGATCTTACACGAACGGCGCTGGTTTGTATCGTCGTTCCGATTTGCAAAAGGTTGGTCGACAGTTCGGAGAACCCGGGGACGCTTTCCATGATCGTTACGTCGAAGCTAATTATGCGTTCCGAGTTGCACTCAAAAACTGCCACGCGGCTCTTCGGTTGACGAAAAACGAATCGTGCAATGCCATTTACGACCCGGAATGCACGGGTGCATTTCACCACATCGGAGGTGGGAGAGGAACACGACCCCGAACAGCAAAGGGAACAAAGTGCATGGATATCGCTTGGAATTTCTTCGGAACTCCTCTTTATGAAAAATTCCACAAGTTTGCGGCTCAAACCACTGGAGAAACCACACAAAAATGCAGTAGAAAGGAATTGCAAGAGTTGCGAGACCAGCAATTCCGAGAAACGGATTCAGAGAGCTACAGAGAGGAGGTTCGAATACAGAACAAAAAGGTGTTTCAAAAAGAAGAAGAGAGACGCCAATCACTACGCGATCAAGCCGAGTTGATACTAAACATGCTGGCAAAAGGACAAGCAAACGATCTTCGCGGTGCTGTGCCTTGGATGGATGGTATGTCGAACGAGGAAATCGCTGAAAAAGCTCGAAGTTTCGAGAAGCTAGCAAATTCACCACATCCCATGGATGGATTCTGGGATTTGCTCGGAAGAGTGCAGCATGCCGATTAGAGAGCGGTCTGTTCAGAGAGTCCACGTCGATTTTAAATCAACCTCTTTACCTACTCGTAAGTATTGTATTTAATGAGAGTTCAAATTAGTAGTAACAGCAATACATCCAATTTTCGCAATTTTCTTGTATTAGAAAATTCGTGTGAAAAGAATACCTATAGAAGCATTTTCAAAGGTGCAATATTCCCACAGTAGCTTCCTACCAAAAAATTCAGGACAATTGTTGATCAAAACACTTGAGTTTCAGGAAAGAGCAGTAAGTGAAGCTGCTTTCTGGAGGAGCGTTGCTATCCAAGTGGTTTGATGGTTGTTGATGATTTTAGGGACGTGTCCTTGTTGCTCATAAACTGTGAGTATTGACATATTCYTAATTACTGTGTGCTCATACTTGGTTTCCAATAGAGGAGTGAGGTTATTCACTAGTAGCTACTTGGGATTTAGCCTCACAATGGTATCCAGTTCTATTGTGTTCAGATGATGGTTCATTTTCAAAGAGTGCTGAAATTATTTCAATCATTTAGATCTGTTTGTTCCTAGTAGTAGCCAAAAATAGTATTTGAGAAACACGACTAGAAAAARAAATTTTGATCAATTAGATAGTTCTTGTTTGTATGTTCATATTTTGGCTAGTTTTAGTATGCTCATCATACCTACTAMCATGGTGTGCTACACACAAAATAACCAATTGCAGTCCCCCACCATTGCTGTTGCATTTATTCGTCAAACTAAGTTTCATTTCTCTTTAAGAATACTACTAGTAGTTGTTCTCACTATTGACAAGTTTGTCTCCCTAGACCACTAGTACAATTGGCAATGAATTAGGAGTACTACTACTACTAATGCTCCTCCTCACTATTGACAAGTTTGTCTCCCCAGACCACAAGTACAATTGGCAATGATTTAGTACTACTACTAATAATAATAACAGAAGTAATCCTGCTGAAGGACAGAAAGGAAAAGAATTCTTTCTAAAAAATCAGTATGAATAACAAATAATGGTGTGAAGTCACTAGTAGTATGACTAGCAGTACTAGTAGTACTACTGAAAGAAGAAGAAGTACCCTATTATTTCTACKAATGTACAACAAGGTACACCAAGACATAGACTACTACTTCTACTAAATGAAGAACTGATGGTAAATTGSTATCTCCTACTTTGTATTCTAGAAGGTAGTAAGACTGACAATACAAGAAGATTCTCTCGTATGACAACAAACATGAAATACAATGGTGACTAAGAAGAAATGCTAGTAGTGGAAGATTTTTGACATCATCAAGAAGCCTACTACTACAACTATGACAACAAGGAACAATATTATCTGCATTGCACCAATCCAAAATAATATCATCTTTGTTACACACATATTGGAATAATATGAGAATTGCATTAACAAGGATCCTATTTGTAMTWGTAGTAGTACTACYATCAATGTTTTGTATTTTTCCCKTTGCTGAGGCTYGTAGCTAGGGGATGTCTACTAGTCAGCAATTCCCATTCATATGTATCAGGATGACAAATGAAAAGAGTTGTTGAAGCTTCAGTGTTGCACTACTACTACTACTACTACTACTACTACTACTACTACTACTACTACTACTACTACTACCACTACTACTACTACTACTACTACTACTACTACTACTACTACTACTACTACTACTACTACTACTACTACCACTACTGCAACACTGAAAACACAAGAAAGGGTCATTTTCAGGGGAGTGAGTTGAGAGTGGTCTTATCTCTTACTAGTAGTTTAGGTTTTGGAGAGGTTCACGGACACAACTGACAATAATATCAATGATATCAATGGCACATAAACCTTGGGGATGCTGCCTGAGGATATCTAGTAGTAGTATTTCCTGAAATCAATTGTACAAATAATTATTGATTGTTGATAGTACCAGGTTTTGTATTATGTTTCCCAAAATGTGAGGTCATGCCTTGTTACAACCAAGACCACTACTATGTTCCAGAATAATTATTCCACTGTATAGTGATTCCAGGATGGTTATTTTAGATTATTATTGAATATGTGTGGATCTTGGCTTTTGATGCCATGAGTCCAGATACCTTGATACTACTGTCAATGTAAATCTTGGGGTTGTTGTGTATCATATCCTCTGCAGTAGGAATATTATTTGATGATTGGGTGAATCCAGATTGAGATGCATTAGAATACTAATTTTGTTGCACAGACTGAAGCACATTRCTATGGCACAAAAGCAATCACAAACATGCTGGGGTCTATTGTAAGCTTGAGAATTGTAAAGTCCTGTGTCAAATGGCCACACAAAATTTATGGGCACCAGGTTGCAACCAATTGTTGTTGCCACTAGAATCAAATCCTCTTCTCATCTTCTGCTGTTTTGGCTTATCCTCTGTGTCCATTCCCATATTGGTTTCTTTGTTCCTTGTGATGGTGGCTGGTATTTTGTCTCTTTTGTAAGCTTTAGGTTAATGAATTCAACGTGTGCTGGTTGTCATAGATTGAACAAAGTACGAGAGAAGGATGAACAGTTCATTGGTTGACAATTATAAAGAAGGCTGTGGGACTACTTTCAGTTATTCAAGGTTCTTGTCTATGGTATGTCTCATTKGGTTGAAATTCCCATTATTATAGACAATCTACTTTTGACAGACTAATAGGAGATCAAAAATGAATTGTCTACTAGTTTCAAATTTTTGATTGCTTCTTAGAGAGCACTTCTGACCCCTCTTAGACAATCTATTAGTAAATTGTCTACTGCAAGTAATACTAGAGGGGAACCTATAGATTTTTTGTCTTTTGTCTTACTAGTTGCAAGTTAGCAAACTGCTGCCACCACATAGTCTTATTTTTTAGTTGTATGCCATTATTTTCATTTTTCACCATCAGTTATTTTCATTATCATTCCAAATTCCACATTCTTCCTTTAACAAGACTGCTGGGTGAACGCCTACTAGAAGAGTTTTAATATGATTGGGAATAACCTTTTGGAATCTTTGTTTGATTCTAGATAATGTGGGGGTACTTGTAGAATAAAGGGAATCACAAATTGTTCTCGTTTTCAACAGGAGGAGTAATTTTGCCACTCTTGCTGCTTTCATCCTCATGAAAGTTGTCAACTTTTTTTAGTGCTGGGCAGGTGTAGCTAGTAGCTACTACTACAGGTAGCAGTAGTCCCAGTCATACTAGCTTTATGATACCTAATCAGGAGGTTTCTTCCTTCCATGGTAAGAGGCACATTTTCATTATGAATTTCCTCCTGTCTGCTATTTATTTGCTCCTGGGTCCATTGCCAGCAGTATTGGTGAGGAATTAGGATGGAAAATTTCTTGCTGGTGGTGGTGGGCCTGTTTCTAGTACTAGAATGAACAATGATGAACTGGTGAGCAGTGGTGGTGGGGGAAGAATAATTTGTTTGTTCTTCGTTCTTTTGCTTGTTGGATTAGTAGTAGTACTAGTAGTAGTACAAGCAACAAGATCACAGAAAAGCCTTCTTGTTGGTGGAGATAAGTATTAGTATTTGTGGGAGTGACTATCTAATAGTGTGATATAAACCATGTGCTAGTAGAGTGCAGATTGAGTGATGTGTGAATCAAAAGAGTCAAGTCAGTCATGCAAGTGAATCAAACAAGTTGAGTCAATTGTGTGGATCCATTGGATCGAGTGAGTCATGAATGTAGAGTGTGTATGAATCATATGTATGTGTCATATGTACGTGTTGTAGATATGAATCATACCCAAGATCTGATATCCTAGTACGGACAGCATTTTTCACAAGAAGAAGAACAATCAACACTATTAATACCACTCGTGGTGTGAGGATGATGATTTGAATCTACTACTACTACTGGTACTACTAGTAGTAGTACTGCGTCTGATCATCTGCTGTGGAGTTGCATTTGCAGCTGGTGCTGGTGCTGGTTGATGCTGGTGATATGATTGATGTAAACTCTTCTTACCTCTGTCCTTTGATTGTTTCTGTACCAGTTTACAYCCATTGTACCCTAAATTTTAAATTCCAAACTCTCTTTTTGGGTACTTCCAACCTCTCCAGGTACTGAATGAAATATTTTAGCTCTAATTCACAAATCATCCCCCTTTGACAGAAGTACACAACATTTTAGAAAACTCTTGCTTTCCCCCCTCTTTCCCCYCAAAATGACTAGCTTGACTCATTTTAATGTGGACTTGACAAGATTTACAAAATTCAAGATCTAGAATTTTTTGGATAGACACTTCCGGCACCATCCAAAATACACTGATGTCTAAACAGCACTTTCTGACAACCAGCAGATCAATAAATCAGATTGATTTGTTTTTTTCAACACCCTCCTCTGACACCCACAGACAACACCCTCTGACAAAAAGACAACAATAAACAAAAATGACAAAAACAAACAAAATATCAATCTTGTCATACTAGTTTCCTGYATAACATTCCAAAGATGAAACCATCAAATGACATCAAACACTGCTTTTGTTCCACATTTTGTTCCTCAAAAAACAATTCTTGACACCAGATGAGGAAAAACAACAATTACTAAAAGTGACAATGTAAATTATGGCGATCAATCCTGCCATTGGTTTCTGCATTTTCTTTAACCCATTGAACAACATCAAATGTTGCCTCTGTTCCATWACTATTAGTAGTTCCTGCACAACATTCCAAAGATCCATCTTGTGTTCTGAAAAGGGCACATATTGACACCAGATCAATTGATCATATGGATCTTTTTGTTGTGTGTTCAGAAAGGCAATTGGTCCTGCCAAACAACAACAAAACAGACCACCCACAAAGGAAAAGGAGATCCATCAAGGAGTTCAATTGTTAGTAAAAATCAAAATCATGGATCTTTTTAATGCATGCACTCTATGTATTTCTAGTACCTTAATAGTATTTCATATTGCAACGTTCTCCTTGTTTTAAGGGGTGTTGGGGAAACTATTGAACAGAATTCTGCCCAAATTCTAACCGAGGGCCCAGAAAAATATCTCGTTCCCAAGATCTGTATGGTCATTACTTCTTCTGTGACCGTGCCTTCACGAAGTCATAACAAAATTAAAATGTCTTCCGTTACACTAGTAGTACGCGTTACGCTACCAAATTCAATTGTACGAAGTACAGTACTACGAAATAGTACTTGGAACCATGATTTGAAAAGATTATTTTTTTTCATTYATCACGAGGAGTCGTAGTACAGTACGTACCAGAGAGTGTTTTTTTGTTTTCTTCCTTCGCTCAACGCTGATGAGACAACAAGAAGCGTCTGAAAACATTTCTCACAATTTAARAAATTAGTGCAGTAGTTAGGCAAACGAGTTGGTCTTACAAACCTTTTCTCCTTTTCTTTTCTTATCACAAGACAGTTTTTGTATCAACTTTTCTACCAACGCAGTATCATCATGAGTGACTCCGACAATGAAGAYGAAGCGAGAATGAAAGCGCTTCTCGCCCAATGGGATGACGATGAAGACTCGGATGCCAGCTCGGACTCTGACGATGACGATGAGGAAGACGAAGCACCAGCACCCGCCACCAAGAAGGATTTGAATYTGCAGGACAATGTTTTGGATCATATTGTGATTGCTGCACCGGATTTTGATGAAGCCGTGAAGGAGTTCGAGAACATGACCGGAATCAAGCCATCCRTTGTCGGCTCGCTTCGAGGWCTAGGAACCAAGAGTGCCCGTGTCGGTCTCGACAACAATGCATACATCGAGATCGTTGCTCCCGACCCAAAGAACTCTGGACCTGTCGGAGCCGCTTTGGCCAAGGACCTCGAAGATGGTACCCTTATTCCATACCACTACGCTATTCGTTCCAGCGAAGTCGAGGACATGAAGGACAACCAGGTACCAAATGATCTTGGCTGGCAACCAGACCATATCTCGATGTTTGGTGCTGCGCCCAACGGCGCACCAAAGAAGTGGGAAATGCTTTACATGTATGGCCACAAAATTGGAGGATGCGTGCCCTTCTACATCGATTGGGGAGAGTGTGATCACCCATCTGCGTCAATCCCCGAAGTTGGCTCCCTGAAGACCTTCATTGTACGCGCACCAGCTGGTCACAAGGTACACGATCTTTTGATGGGCGTGARCGGAATCATTGTGGAAGAAGGTGAGCCCATGCTCGAATTTGCTTTCGGAAGTCCCGAAGGAACCATCACCTTTTCGGCTGACAATCCTACTGGAATCAAGTTCCCTGGATTCGAGGAAGGCGAGACTGGTTCAGGCAGTGCTGATTTTAAGCTTCCCAAGAAGGTCAAGCCGATCGACGACGACGACAGTGTCGATGTATCCAGTGTCGATAGTGATTAAAACAGCGATCAAGATAAGAAGATCAGTCCGAAAGTGCAAATTAATTTGTGCACAAGGGATTGGTCAGGACTTCTTACCATAATATATTAACGTTAATAATGATTTGTACAACGTTTTTTCTTAGTATCTTTCTAATCTGAATAGAAAAATGAGGCACAAAGAAAATACTCATCCGCTGCGACTTTGAATATGTATACAAAATATCCTGTTGAATGTGAAGGACTGACTGAATGAAAACGTTTTGCTTCAGTGAATGGTGGTTTCACTCTTGTAATCAAAAGGGAAAGCATGAAAGCAGTTGGTAAGTACTTATGGAATCTTTATTTTAGTCCTCATAAAAGCACGGATATAAAATAATTTTGTTRTCGAGGAGAGTATTTCCACAGTATCATCTTTTTGTAGTCCTTACTATGACATACAASTGGCAACCACAAAAAAATTGCAGTGGAGGCTAAACCTTAACATAGAAAAAATAGCTATTGATTCTTGTTCAAATAATATGAATGTCTAAATTATGGAGCATTACTSATGTTTGCTATATATTTTGCTTCTTTGATTACTTCATCATTGGCATGCTCTCTTTTCTATGTTGCACAAATCAATGCACTCTAATGCCTCTACTTCGAAGTAGATTGTTATCGATCCCAGAAAAGTTCGCTAGCGTCCAAGTCGCGGTCGCTATTCACTTTTTTCATGTAAATCTTGCTTCTCCTGTCGTGATTGTACGTCGCTTGTCGACTTGGGGGCAGACATTCCACCCCTACTTCATCAAAACCACGTTCCACAAACCACTCCATGGTTTGCGTGCTCAAGACAAACATATTTGTGGCTCCATTTTTCACGCAAATTCGCTCCAGATATCCTAACATTGCATCGCCTCTTCCTTTGGATCGATAGAGAGGATTGACCACGAGGCATCCRAATTCGGCAAACCCATTTTCAAACATTTTTAATTGACCACATGCAATTAGTAGATCATCTCGAGTATAGACATGATACTGTTCGATATCCCTCTCAAGCTCAGCCTTTGTTCTCTCGACTAGTGTTCCTTTTTTGACAAGGGGAGTGATGACTTCGAAAATTGCGTTCGCATCGTTCACCGTTGCAGGCTGAATTCCATCGTACAAGTCGTTCGATATCATGGTTCCCGATCCGTCTCTCGTATAAAGCTCTTGCAAGAGAGCTCCGTGGTATGGTGATACCAAGTGAACCCGCTTGACCCCGGCTTCCAATGCRTTCATGCCCCAGCCCATCTTGATGAAAAAGGATCGCTCGGCTCCGTAATCATAGGGRCAATCGTCCAAGTATACAAAGCCTTTCTTTTCCGTTCGTATGCCATTCAGGTCCAAGAGATTTCGCCCATCGTTGACCCTCAAGTGCTGAATAATGCTTCCGTGAATCTTGTGCCGGAGGCCGGCATCCCTTTCGAGGAAGTAAATCACCTTGCTGGCACCGAGCGTCCCGGCCGCATACGCTGCCAGATATTCCGAATTGACGTTAAAGACCTCTCCCGTCGGACTGAATCCAAGAGTGGTCAAGAGAACAATGTCTCTGTTCTTGTGAACCTGGTGAATTTTATTGGTTTCCATGCGACGAACAAACCCACTGTATTTGTAATCAACACCGTCCAAGACGCCAAAGGGTTGGGCAGAAAAAAAGTTCCCCGAGACAACGTTTCCCTCGCCGACCTCATTCTCGTTTCCATTGCCACCACCATTCTTATTGCTATGTCCACTCTTAAGAGCACGAGCGAGCTGGCGCTCCACTTCAAACCGGACGTATCCCGCTTCTTCCTTGACGATCCTCAGGGACTCTTCGTCGGTGACCACCATGCCCATGTGTTCACGACGGCGGCCCTCWCCTGATTGTGATTGTTCCTTGAGTCGTTTGTTGATCTGATACCGACAYCCCGCAACGATGACGATTCTCATCCCCAGCAACCATGTCAATGAAATATCGTTCATGAGATCTCGAAAGCCGGCTGGGTTTTCGTCCATCAAATCGCCGGGGATATGGAAGACCGCCAGCGCGTTACGATGGGTGGCGATGTAGTTTGCCGATCCCCGAAACATCTCAATAAAGTTGCGGTTGCCAAAAATATTTCCATTCAATATATCTCCCTTGCTCTCRTCCTCTTCTCCGTTCAGAAATTCGTCCTTTCGCTCGAATATGTCGACGAGGCGCGGGTCGATGCTCAAAACGTTAAGGAGGGGCTCTTTGCGGGCATTTTCGTCCTCGCTTTTGCCGCTCGTATTGCTATCGGCATGCGGATGGGTTGAGGCCTCGTTACTATTCAGTGACGACGACGGCATCGTGCTATTTTCGTTTTGAATGTTGTTGCTATCTTCTATAGTTGGTGCCTGATCTTCCTCTTCGGTCGCCTTCAGGTCCGTTGAAAAATTCCTTTTCTTACTATGCCGATGGCGTTGGGTATGGCTTATCGATCGATCTCTGTTACTATTCCAGTTTTTGTAGCAGCTGAAAGAAGTTCTTGCATTTGTACCATAAGTGCTTTGATCGGTCTTGAAGGCGGATGACGCAGACAATCGAAGTCTGCTGTTTCGTGAGAATTTACAGGATTGAATGTGCCAAACTGCCCCATTCGCATTCCTGGAAGCGATCGACCATCCTGACACAAGTATCGCACTCTCCCGTAACAAGCACGAAGAGAAGGTCGCTACCAACACCATGATCGCTATTCTTGACGCCGCCGTCGTTGTCGTGGTGAATATTGTCTTCCTTGTCCTCCTTGCCACAACTGTCGTCGTTGTTATCTTCTTCGTCATACAAGCAGAGCTGCTGTCGGTAGGCAAACGTATTCCACTCATCGAAGAGGAGTAATACAGGGATTTAAGTGAAAGGGCGACAAATTTCAGAAGGCTTCAAATCGAGAGAGAAACTTCATTCTTTTCACAGCTACTGTAGTTTTCTAACGGTATAATCCGATGATGTGTTGGTTTCAAATTTATTATTAATTCCAGTATTTTGGCTCTCTATCTCAGAAGAAATGGCCGAGTTTTCGCATGATGAAAAGTTGTCGTGGTGCTCGTGAATTCAGGTCCAGGACCCGTGCAACTCCGATAATCATYATTATTCTGCCGGAACAGGCGGAAGTAGGTGGGATGCTCCGGGTGCTGGCAGAACATTCTCGCCAATCAAGAAGAAAGAAAGAGAGGTAGGACGGAATTTCAAAACGGGGCCAATAAAAACCCGTTTTTTTGACACCCCAAAGGGATTTCAATTTTTTTAATGGTGTCGTGAGAACGCAACGTGAACTTTCGTCGAACAGGCCAGATGTTAGTGACACTTTCATACTCAAAACTCTTCTTTGAAAAGGGAGTAAACGATGATGTTGATGTCATCATCAGCAGACCAATACCAGTGCAATACACCAGTAGTGGCATGCACTCTCCATTTCTCTGAAGAACTTCGTATCTGAAGTTTTGGGCTTTACTACAAAAGTGTGCCTTTTTTGTTGCGAGCTAATAACATCATTTTACATTTCACTTACTATCYACTCGAAGTAGTAGTAGAGTGGGTGCTGATTGGTATATTCAAGATCAAGCAAAGGTAGTAGTTAGCATAATGCCCGAGAAACAATAAAGAAAAACCAACAATTATGCAACTGTTAGTCCAACTCTTCCACCCAAATAATATTTGTTGGTAAAATTAAAATCAAGGATAATTTCTATCTCAACATCATATTATAATACAGTATTAATACGCGCTATTCAAAATCTAAAAATAATCCTAGTTCTCCAAAAGTAGCTACTCCTCGTGACCCAATCTCACACTGTTGGTTCTTTGATAGAACAGCATTTAGAGGAACGCAAAAGATGCCTCCCGAGAAAAAAGGACAACTTACTGTCAATAGCTGTGTTCACTTTGTTCTCCTGTGAAACTCATTTTGGTTTGGGCGACGGAAACGAGAGGACCACAAACAATTGAACAGCAATCTTGCGGACCCTCAGGCATGCAAAGTCGATGGCTGGTTCTTCTTTCTTCGTCAATGCTGTCAGAAAATCTTGTACGAGAAAGTTGGTTGGAAGCCTCAAACCAACAATGCAGGGCGCGTTGTGGTGTGATATCTTCACAAGAACATCCTCCAGGGGAGTGTCTCCCAGTTTCAGCTGTTGSTGGCGCCGAACCTTTCCCTTGTAATCCCAACCACCCCAGGGAGGGTCGATCACGAAACAGGCTCCGCGTGGCAGTGAGGGGATCTGCTGGACCGAATCGCTGTGGCGAATTTCGACAACGCTTCGACCACTGGTAGCCGGTCCATCGCGAAAGCCGTAGCGGCCCAGATTTTCTCGGCACAGGTTGGCCCGAACTTGGTCGATTTCCAGAGCTATCACGCGGTCGAAGAAGTTTGATCTCGCCAAGGCCAACGTCATTCCACCTACGGATGCAGTCAGATCAATGACCGTTTTGGAGATCTTCATTTCGGAATGCAATTCCAGATTTTCGTTCTGTTCGATTAGCTCAACTTGCTCCTYGCTGCCGTGGTTGCAAACCCGACCCGCAAAATGATTGTTGCCGTAAAGATTGGTCTCGCGACATCCCTGTATCACAAGATTCGACATGGCTCTCCCCCACTTGTTGTTCGTTACAGAATACAAACCCTCTTCGTCAACCTTCATTCTTTTGTCGTCCTTGGAACCTTTGAGACTGTGATCATCATCACCACTACCACTGGAGCAACTATTGTTGGTCTTGGGACGTTTCGACCGAAGGATAAGGTTTTGTCCATCGTCGATGATCGTTATTGCTTGGAAAAAGTACTTAGGTATGGCCTGGGTCGGTGGTTCAATCGAATCATTGCGATCAACAGTTTCCGTGCCATCGGGGACATCAGGGACATTCGAGAAGTCGCARTACATCGTCCATAGGTCTCGTCCCCCCAGCAATTCCTTGAACCCCGGATATCGGTGCAAGATCAATTGCAGGCTGACTTGATGACCACCGTCTTTTCGGCAAACAATKTCCGTCAGAATTTGGTCGATGCGGCGGACAAGGCGCAACGTAGAATCGTCGTTTGTATCGTCKTTGTGGTTCATTGGTCGTTCGWGGRTCCTTTTCTCGCAGGCGGTAGGATCGACTCCCTCGGCGTCATCTTCGTCGGATTGTGTTTGGTGATGATTCCGTTCCTTCACCGATGATTGCTTCAAAAAGGCCTTTCCGTTTTCTACATGAATCCAAGAAASATGCTTTGGTTCACCGCCATAGCTATCGCCTCTGTCTTCCATTCTCCTTTCGTCCTTGTCCACGCAGAGTGTGCATTCAAATGTTTTTAGCGTAACATCCTCCCATGCTCTGCTTCCTACCTGTTTCACATCGCAAGGATTTTYGTATCCACAGCGTTTGGGATCCATGTAGAATCCGTTGTACCGAAGAAAAAAGTGAAACTCCCAGGAGCATTGCCGAAGCAGCCAATGGCAAAAGACACCCGGGTCCTCACTATCCCTGGTTTGCGCAGCAGCAGCGGCATCAGCATCTAATTCGGTCCGATTGGAACCAGAAGCCTTGGTACGACGTCGGTCCATTCGGGCCTTGCGTTTCCTCAAAACGTAGAGGGCTTTCTGAAAGACCCTGTTCCGCAGTTCTCCCTCCACTTCCACGCACGAGGYAGTCCTGCTCGTGGTGGCACCGTCAAYGGATGTTGTCCCCGGYGCCACCAATCGCACCCAGTGGGGGATTGTGGTCCGATCGACACTAAAAACGTCCGGATGGCTCTCTAAGAACGCTAGCAGCTTTGGCTTTCCTAYRTTGGACTGGGTCAAGAGCGAATTGAGCTGGTGGTTTCGTTTTTTCGAGCTCTTGTAACAGACCGTAGGCGACGGTGCYGTTGGCAACGACGASAGCGGYTTCACCTGGAGCGGTTCCCTGGGTCCGTGATCGGCGACAATRTATTCCTTGAGAGTCGTCGCCAAACATGCCCCCCCGTCCCGCTCGATCTCCCTCGTCAAAAGCCTTAGCAAAAACGACGTCGCCCTTGTATTTTCGTTTGGATTTGTCGTCTTGCTGTTTGGAATCGGGTCAATGTGGTTCGATGCCKCTTCGGTGGCCGGCGGAAGCTGTCGATGGCACTGAGGTGTGRACTTGAGGCCGCAACTTTGGGRTTTTTTTCTCGGCTTACTGCTCTCGTCTTCGACACGTTGGTCATGTTCCGCGTTTGCGATTGCATCCATCCGATTGTCGTCGTTTTTCATGATATTCATGTAATGCAGGAAAAAGTACAAGAGCAACGGGTCGGCCCGGTAGTGTTTCAGGAAGGCAAGAGGTGGATTGCCCAATTATTTGTCTGCAATRAAAGCTACCCGTGTGGTCTTTGAAGCTATCGAACGGATTTCGTATTGTCGTCGTATGTTTTTCAAATTGATTTCCAGTTGTGAACAAGATTTGACGGTTCATGAAAAATCCAAGGTCATACGGTAGTAGGAGTAATTTCTGTGGGCGTGATCGATGGTTGATGTAGCAGCTAACTCGTACGTAGGACTCCGCGTATCGTACGGTACAACCGAACAGAAGTACCGTATGTTTTGGTCTGTTATTTACAGTAGCTTCTTTGGAGGGAGGTACGGTACGTACGTACCGGTACGTACCTGAGATTCAATCGAGCAAAGCGGATTTTGGGGGGAAAATGAAAATGCCCGAGAACTGTTTTTAAAGGTTTTGGAAACTTGGCGACAAATTTTGTTRCTACAACCGTGGTAAACGACGACAATAGTCAACCATGCCGCGGTTGTTTCGGAGACACACTACGAATATTCTAGCGACTGTATTATAATTTCAACACTTCAGCATCAACAWAAAGCAAACACGCATTTACCCCTCGATATAATTCAACAGTGATCTGTGACCCCAACGAACTTCCGCCATGACAACAACTCGTGGACTTCCCGGATTTCTGCGCCGATCGCTGAGACGAGACGATTTTTACACCACCAGCGAAGACGACGACACGGACGACGACGATGGTTATGACGGCGAGAATTCGATCGAAGACACGACAAAYAATTCTGGGAGCCAGAACAGCAGTGTCGCCGAATCGACTGGTAGAAGTGGCAGCAGCAAAAGAGAAGCCAATAACACCAACAAACACCGAATGGGATCCGTAGCACGGACAAAAGGACCGCCTGCCGCAAACCGCTCATCATTGTTGTCTTCGACGTCATCGRTTTTGGATCCATCTCCCCTGGCGGATGTCTCTGCACGGGAAGACAATAATGCCGGATGGACCAACAGCAACGACGCCACAAGCAATGGCAACAACAACTACAGCAACAATAGCATTACACACGAGTATTATGACGACGAAGACGGCCAAAACTCTGTGAGCACAATGGGAGAATCGGTTTCGGGCATCCGGCGTGCCTCGTCGTTTGCGGCGAATTCTTCCAGCGAAGGYGGTAGTCTCTTCAGAGGGACAAGCAGCAAGCGTTCTGCCTCAAAATCCTACCGGGAACTCCAATTCGAGAAAATTCTGGGCACCGCTCCAAATGGTGAAACCAGCACCAACACCAACAGCAACCACAACCACAACCACGTCGTCAAGATGAGCGAGCTCAAGCAACTGGCCTGGAACGGCATCCCCCCGCAGTACCGGGCCATGAGCTGGAAGATCATGCTCGGGTACCTGCCCACGAATGCGATGCGGCGCCAGCAAACCCTGGAACGGAAACGTGCCGAATACAAGGACGCAATACAACAACACTACTACATCRACGATAACTCCCGAACGATACAGGAGCAGGAAACCCTGCGGCAGGTCCTGGTGGATGTCCCGCGGACGGCGCCGGACATACAGCTMTTTCGGAACGAGAAGGTCAAGCGGGCCCTCTCGCGACTGCTATACATCTGGGCCATGCGGCACCCGGCTTCCTCCTACGTCCAGGGCATCAACGACCTGGCGACGCCCCTGTTTRCCGTCTTTCTGGCCGAGGAGTACGACGGCGAGGACATCCTGGACGGGAGCATTATGATGGTGTTGGAGGACGAACGAATCGATGAGGTGGGTCGGTGTCTCGTGTCTCGTGCCTCATTGTGTCGTGTTTCGTATGTCTCTGTGTGTGAATCTATTCCACTCCATTCCATGSTATTCTATGCTATGCCGTATTGTATTGTACTATGCTGTGTGTGACCCGTTTGGAAATCTARTTTGAGCCCTGCATCAACCGATTCATTCCGTGTTTGTAATCAGTTCATCTACGTTACAAATGATATTACTTGACTCACTCACTCATCTTTCCTTCATGCAGGTCGAGGCCGATGTCTACTGGTGTTTGACCAACATCTTGGCAGGCATTCAAGACCATTACACGGCAGATCAACCCGGAGTCCAACGRATGGTAATGCGGCTGGAGGAACTGGTCAATCGAATCGACGGAGATCTGTACAAGTACATCCATTCGGTGGGCATACAATTCATGCAATTTGCCTTCAAATGGATGAACTGCTTGCTCCTTCGAGAATTCAACCTCAAATGCGTCATTCGATTGTGGGACACCTACATAAGCGAGGAGAACGGAAACGGCTTCGAGGATTTTCACGTTTACGTCTGTGCCGCCTTTTTGTCGCAATTCAGCGGCCAGCTCCAACAGATGGACTTTGACGAGCTCTTCCAGTTCATGCAACAGGTTCCGACAGAGGATTGGGGAGAAACCGAAATCGAGATGCTCCTGAGCCACGCCTATGTCCTGAGCACCCTCTTCGAGGGAAGCGATGCCCACCTGACTAGCAACCACAGCAGCATCAACGCGGGCGGGCTTCCGGGACCATAGCGGCGTGTCCATGGCATGTCTCTCGGCCTTCATGTTACTCAAAGGTCGCAGTGCTTTTTCTTTTTATCGAGAGACGAAAGAAATTCTCCACTATCCACCCACGCTTATTTCAATAGAATATAGTAGCAATTGTGAAGGAATTGACAGCACGGAAATGGAATAATCACAAACTTTAAGTTAAAGCAGTCTGGTACTGGCGCCTAACCTGTATCTATTTTGGAATGTTGCGGTTCTTGAATGGTAGCCTGAAAAGCACCTTACAGTACTGCATGTTCTTTGGTTTCCACTCTTCCTTGATGCGCTGGTGATAGCGAGATGAACCACCTAGGAATTCGTTTACATTCATTTATCATTGGTAGTAGATCTACGGCTTTTTCTGACTTGGAATGGCGAGTGTGAAGAAAATGAACTAATGTCTACAACAACTACTAGCATAGCTCGTGAGGAATTCATTCTTGCCATTTCAAAGTCACTGTTGCCAGCATGCATTGCAAAATTCCAGCCTCAGCTACAAACCCAGCACTAGTAGTAGCACTGATACCACATCAGCATGAGGAGAGCAAGGATGCTGCTGCCACGGGGAACTCATCAAGTAGTAGTTTTGCTACTAGTAGTAGGAAGTCAGAAGCAGATCTACYAGTACTAGTGGCCAGAAGGCAGGTGTAGCAAACTAGTACTTCAAGGATGAGCTAGAAAGTCTCATGAGAATGATAATTGAGAGGCTTCCCATTACTACCTACAGATGAATGGTATCTCATTGTGGAAGAGCATGCAAAAAGTTGGCCCTTCTTTCGAAGCCAGACATCCGTCAAGACTAAGTATGCAGTTGTTAAGCGGATCAAGAGCTCAACAGGAATCCAGAGATGCCAGAGTATGTGAAGATTGCACGCCAGGCCCATATCTTGATTGGTCAGAAGGCAAATCTTGGTACTGGAGAGGAAGCCTTTGATCTGGAGAAAGGTTTCATTAAGAGTGAGGCTGTGGGGGTTTCAGCGCCTCTTCCTGACAACCTCGCTCCTGATGGAGCATCTGAAGGAGCGTCCATCATTCTTACTGGAGGAGCACTGACTCAACAACAACCACTATGCTACTGCTTCTCATTATCCTCCATACCACTCAGCTGGTCTGCTGGCGCCCTCCTTCCTACCAACGAGCCGGCAAATAAACGTCCTCAAACCAAGAAGGACAAATACCATGGTGAAGATGTTTAAACTACAGCTTTTCATTCACTACTACATTGATTCAGTTACAATACACTCTAAAACTAGTTACAAATAATGAGCTAATAKCAGCAGTAGTAGGATTACTAGCTAACAAGCAGTACTACAGTCAGCCAACTTGGTTTTCATGTATAGGTTTTTATGAACCCCCCCAATACAGGATTAGTAGCATGTAGTAGTAGTATGCTGGGCCATGTACATGACTAAAATGGGGGTTTGCTGTGGCATGCACATGCACTGTTAGATGAATTTGCATCAGCATGCACATGTTGTGTATTATCRACTTTTTATCTTTATTACAGAATACTTGTGGACGTCTACTAGTAGTACTATCGGTGATTATGGTGTATTCCTCATTACAGCAGCAGTACTATAACTTGTTATGTTGCTTGATGTGAACAGATATGGGACAAGGTATACAAAAACCAGTCCAGCTATCCATTATTTGAGTACTACTGTACCCCCATCAAGTAAGTACTTTCTAAGCACACCTTAATGAAACAACAAGAATGGTGACTTTCTTCCACCATGCATGGGGATCCTTTCTTGCCCTGCTGGTGTGAGTGAACTAATTGTTACCATTGCTATAGTAGCTATCGATTACCGTAGCTATCAACTGCAATCAATTGTGATGTGAGGTCTAACGAAACTTCCTTCTTTCCAACTATCCACAGCAACCAATCAACCATGGGATTCAATGTACTACTACTASTAGTAGTAGTCTAGTACTCACCCAATAATACCTGTACCGGTACCTCAAAATTCAAAATTCTTCAGTCGTCAATATTTTCGACTCGATCGACTGAGGAATTCGCGAGAGTTCTTTCCGAGTCGTTGTCCCGTTTTTACTATGCACCGTCGCCCAGAAGCGACGTCTTTCATAGAGGGTTCATCATTTAACACGAAAATCCTGCCGATACACTTTACGGACTATCCAATTTGACTGTACAACCTATCTTTAGCAGGACCAATACAAAGAAAGAACAACGCGACAATGAGCTCCGAAAATGGAATCCCAGTAATGAACAAGCCTGTCGATGCGATGGAAGTCGGTCCCAACGGCAGCAATCTGGCCACGGCGGCCATGAGAAAACATCCGATGGAGGAGCTCCAACAGCGCCAAGGTGTGTGCATGTAATGGGCTTTCGGTGAAACCGAACTCGTTTCGTAAAGTTACCACCGCTGGATGAATACGGTGGTAGTCTTTGTATTAACATGCGATGCGCGACCGATTCGACTTGAGATTTGTGGYTTTGGCGATGGTTCTCTCACTTAATCGTTTGATCCTTTCTTATGACATGCTTGATGAAAAATGCATCGATTGTTATGGCAACAACAAATGAATCTAATGAATACATTKCATTGCTCGTCCAGCTGCCCAAAGAATTTCATTCATGGGGACCGACGAGGAAGAGGAAGTCAGACGATTGTACGGGAGTGGCTTTGCCATGAAGCTCGCCACGGAACGCCGGGCCGCCAACCAAACAACGATCGGCAGCATCGGAGGCGGAATTCCTTCYTCCAACAACGTAATGGGCGACATTTTGAGCGGGCGAGACATGCAAATCGGATTCGAGGACACCCTTGGATTGCCCGAATTCCGACCCGTTGTSAGCAAAATGCACGAAGATCCTCACATGGTGATGGAACGAAAGCTGGGGATGTAATCAATGCGAATCAGATGTAACAGGATACAATAACAAACAATACGATGTACAATCGAACTGCTCGTAACAGAGTAAACGAAAMGCACAGGCAATCTGTCCTTGTCCGTGAGCACCAATTCGTTGTGGYATGGTTTTCACTTAAAAATTTCGATTTTTTTTCTCTAGTTTTTTYYKGKTTYCMMYTTKKWAAMCYKSMAMMAA